AGCCAAGCAGTTCTTTTTCTCGTGTCTTCTGTTTGCTTCACTTAGTTTTGACAATTTTTCTTTGACCTTTTGTTAGTTTGTTTCAATGCCAACTTTTCTTCTTGTTTCAGAACATATCTTTTTTGCTTGAGCAGATTGGAAGTGGCTGGCAAAGCTGGTCGAGTCTCTTCTTGCTCTTCAAGTTTGTTATAAAGTTCTTTATCCCCATTTTCCTGTATAATGTTCTTAATCACTGTATACGTTTGTAAATGATGATCGTCCAGGTTAATAAAGTACTGAGAAGGACTGTTTTTGTTGTTGTTGACTGACGTTTCGACAACCTTAGCCCTAGTCATCTTCAGAGTCAAATGAGGAGTAAACGTCAGGTAAGCCGTATTTGTTATCTGGTTCTTACGTCATTGTATTGTGTGTACAGGAAATGTGTATTGTCATTGTGGATTAGTGTGAAGTGAAATATTTTATTTTTAGTTGTGATGTGTGATTTCGGTGTGACGTTTTTAGTTGTAATGTGTGGGTGTCAATTGTGTATTGTCATTGTGAATTACTTTGAAGTGTAATGTTTTTAGTTGATCGTTTGTTTGTATTGTGAACAATGCATCAGAACATAAGCCACCACAATGTGATGCATTGTGATGTAGTGTGCTGCATTAAGATGCATTGTGATGGATTGTGAAGAATTGTGATACATTGTGATACATTGTGATACATTGTGATACATTGTGATGTAGAGTGATGCATTGTGATGCATTGTGATGTATTGTGATGTAGTTTGATGCATTGTGACGCATTGTGATGAATTGTGATACATTGTGATGCATTGTGATGAATGTGATGCATTGTGATGCATTGTGATGCATTGTGAGCATTGCGATGCATTGTAATGTATTGTGATCCAATGTGATGCATTGTGATTCATTGTGATGCATTGTGCTGTAGTCTGATGTAGTGTGATGCATTGTAATACATTGCGATGTAGTGTGATGTATTGTGATGCATTGTGATTAATTGTGATGCATTGTTCGGCATTGTGATGCATTGTGATGCATTGTGATGTATTGTAATGTAGTTTGATGCATTATGATTTATTGTGCTGCATTGTGATGAATTGTGATACATTGTGATGCATTGTGATGCATTGTGATGCATTGTGATGCATTGTGAGTATTGCGATGCATTGTAATGTATTGTGATCCAATGTGATGCATTGTGTGTTGTGTGATGCATTGTGATGGATTGTGATACATTGTGATGCATTGCGATACATTGTGATGTATTGTGATGCATTGTGATGCAATGCGATGCATTGTAATGTATTGTGATGTAGTGTGATGCATTGTGATGCATTGTGATGCATTTTGATGCATTGTGATGTAGTGTAATGCATTGTGAGGAATTGTGATGCATTGTGATGCATTTTGATGCATTGTGATGTAGTGTGATGCATTGTGATGGATTGTGATACATTGTGATGAATTGTGATACATTGTGATGCATTGTGATGCATTGTGATGTAGTGTGCTGCATTGTGATGCATTGTGAATGATTGTGATGGATTGTGATGGATTGTGATTCATTGTGATACATTGTGATGAATTGTGATACATTGTGATGCATTGTGATGCATTGTAATGTAAGGTGCTGCATTGTGATGCATTGTGATGGATTGTGATGGATTGTGATGGACTGTGATACATTGTGATACATTGTGATATTGTGATGTATTGTGATACATTGTGATGTAGAGTGATGCATTGTGATGCATTGTGATGTATTGTGATGTAGTTTGATGCATTGTGATGCATTGTGATGAATTGTGATACATTGTGATGCATTGTGATGAATGTGATGCATTGTGATGCATTGTGATGCATTGTGAGCATTGCGATGCATTGTAATGTATTGTGATCCAATGTGATGCATTGTGATTCATTGTGATGCATTGTGCTGTAGTCTGATGTAGTGTGATGCATTGTAATACATTGCGATGTAGTGTGATGTATTGTGATGCATTGTGATTAATTGTGATGCATTGTTCGGCATTGTGATGCATTGTGATGCATTGTGATGCATTGTGATGTATTGTAATGTAGTTTGATGCATTATGATTTATTGTGCTGCATTGTGATGTAGTGTGCTGCATTGTGATGAATTGTGATGAATTGTGATGCATTGTCATGCATTTTGATGCATTGTGTGAAGTGTGATGCATTGTGATGGATTGTGATACATTGTGATGAATTGTGATACATTGTGATGCATTGTGATGCATTGTGATGTAGTGTGCTGCATTGTGATGCATTGTGAATGATTGTGATGGATTGTGATGGATTGTGATGGATTGTGATACATTGTGATGAATTGTGATACATTGTGATGGATTGTAATGTAAGGTGCTGCATTGTGATGCATTGTGATGGATTGTGATGGATTGTGATGGACTGTGATACATTGTGATACATTGTGATATTGTGATGTATTGTGATACATTGTGATGTAGAGTGATGCATTGTGATGCATTGTGATGTATTTTGATGTAGTTTGATGCATTGTGATGCATTGTGATGAATTGTGATACATTGTGATGCATTGTGATGAATGTGATGCATTGTGATGCATTGTGATGCATTGTGAGCATTGCGATGCATTGTAATGTATTGTGATCCAATGTGATGCATTGTGATTCATTGTGATGCATTGTGCTGTAGTCTGATGTAGTGTGATGCATTGTAATACATTGCGATGTAGTGTGATGTATTGTGATGCATTGTGATGAATTGTGATGCATTGTTCGGCATTGTGATGCATTGTGATGCATTGTGATGCATTGTGATGTATTGTAATGTAGTTTGATGCATTATGATTTATTGTGCTGCATTGTGATGAATTGTGATACATTGTGATGCATTGTGATGCATTGTGATGCATTGTGATGCATTGTGATGCATTGCGATGCATTGTAATATATTGTGATTTAATGTGATGCATTGTGTGTTGTGTGATGCATTGTGATGGATTGTGATACATTGTGATGAATTGTGATACATTATGATTCATTGTAATGTATTGTGATGTATTGTGATGCATTGTGATGCATTTTGATGCATTGTGAGCATTGCGATGCATTGTAATGTATTGTGATCCAATGTGATGCATTGTGATGCATTGTGATGGATTGTGATACATTGTGATGAATTGTGATACATTATGATTCATTGTAATGCATTGTGATGCATTGTGATGCATTGCGAGCATTGCAATGCATTGTAATGTATTGTGATCCAATGTGATGCATTGTGATTCATTGTGATGCATTGTGCTGTAGTCTGATGTAGTGTGATGCATTGTAATACATTGCGATGTAGTGTGATGTATTGTGATGCATTGTGATTAATTGTGATGCATTGTTCGGCATTGTGATGCATTGTGATGCATTGTGATGCATTGTGATGAATTGTGATGCATTGCGATGCATTGTAATGTATTGTGATTTAATGTGATGCATTGTGTGTTGTGTGATGCATTGTGATGTATTGCGATACATTGTGATGTAGAGTGATGCATTGTGATGCATTGTGATGTATTGTGATGTAGTTTGATGCATTGTGATGCATTGTGCTGCATTGTGTTGAATTGTGATACATTGTGATGCATTGTGATGCATTGTGATGCATTGTGATGCATTGTGATGCTTTGTAATGTATTGTGATGTAATGTGATGCATTGTGATCCATTGTGATGCATTGTGTTGCATTGTGATGTAGTATGCTGCATTGTGATGAATTGTGATGAATTGTGATCCATTGTTATGCATTGTGTGTTGTGTGATGCATTGTGATGGATTGTGATACATTGTGATGCAATGCGATACATTGTGATGTATTGTGATGCATTGTGATGCATTGCGATGCATTGTAATGTATTGTGATGTAGAGTGATGCATTGTGATGCATTGTGTTGCATTGTGATGTAGTATGCTGCATTGTGATGAATTGTGATGAATTGTGATGCATTGTGATGCATTTTGATGCATTGTGATGCATTTTGATGCATTGTGATGTAGTGTGCTGCATTGTGATGGATTGTGATGCATTGCGATGCATTGTAATGTATTGTGATGTAGTGTGATGCATTGTGATGCATTGTGATGCATTGTGATGTAGTGTGCTGCATTGTGATGTAGTGTGCTGCATTGTGATGAATTGTGATGAATTGTGATGCATTGTCATGCATTTTGATGCATTGTGTGAAGTGTGATGCATTGTGATGGATTGTGATACATTGTGATGAATTGTGATACATTGTGATGCATTGTGATGCATTGTGATGTAGTGTGCTGCATTGTGATGCATTGTGAATGATTGTGATGCATTGTGATGGATTGTAATGTAAGGTGCTGCATTGTGATGCATTGTGATGGATTGTGATGGATTGTGATGGACTGTGATACATTGTGATACATTGTGATATTGTGATGTATTGTGATACATTGTGATGTAGAGTGATGCATTGTGATGTATTGTGATGTAGCTTGATGCATAGTGATGCATTGTGATGCATTGTGATAAATACTTGCCAAATTAAAGTCGTCATTTTCGCTTCTGATAAGAATACAAATGGTTGACTTAACTTAACATTTCAAATTGATTTTGAAACAAAAATCCTTCGTCTTATTTCGAACAAGTTTGTGTACTGTAGAGTTGCTCACTCCTTCAAATTTGCGAATTAAGTTTCACAGCGTTGTGAAGTCGAAATAATCGTAAATTTTCGTCCAAAATACTCTTCTTATCTTTTTATAGTTTTTTAAGAAAATTGACCCGATCAGAAACGCTTAAAAGACAAAATATTGCAAAAACTGTGATGATGTAATAAAAATCTATAGAAAAGGGTCCCATTTTTGATTCGGGCAGTTTACTTCCGGCTTCAATTTTTGATAGAAATTTTGTATTAGTTGCGTTATCCAGTCTATAATGTCTATTTCAGATCAGTGGCTATTCCCCGATGCATGGTATTATTGGTATAAATATTACTAAGAAAAGCAGGTCGAAAATAAAATACAATTCGTGATACAGAATGCAAATTAAACTTCCAATTAAACTTTAAAAGTAAGCTTTGCACCAGCCACATGGACAGTTTGAGATTTACTCGAACAACACTGGTTCCAGATGTTGGTCAGTTCAGTGATTTGCTGAATTCATTCATTTCATATCTGACTAATCTGACCATAACATACGACAGTGATGATACTGCCATTAGAAATTTATCGTGACATTTTATTGCTGCTACCTTTCCAAGATGTTATGCGATACATATTAGTGTGTAAAACTTGGATGGTGAGCCGTGAGCGTTGATTTGATTCTTTCAACACGGACTGAAAGACTGAAAGTACGATGATTCAACTTCATTCTCTTTGATATTTAGGCGATGTTAAACGAAAGGAGTTTTTGGAAGATTTATATGGTGAAACACTTTGATCTTGATGAAAAATCAGATTTATCAAAGGAAATGTTGTCTCTCATTGCAGGCGAGCCATGGGAATGTACTGACCCAGAATATGAAAAGTTAGTGCAGTAAAATTTTCTTTTCTTTGAAATGATTCGCTTGTGTATGTAAGTCATTTATTTTTGCTATGCAAGCTACGTCATAGCCGCCCTGTCGGATGATTTTAACAAAGGAATTTCCTTCTTTACAATGCAAATTTCATCTAACATGGCAAGATAACTAGTGGGTCTTTCTTAATTAAAGAATTTACAGGCTGACAGTTTTTATAAATAGGATTGAAGTATTTAAAATTGTATTATAATATAGCTTTTAAATCATATTTTAAATCATCTAAGGTTATACCTGTGCAAATGTATTCCTAACATGTATGTCATGCGTCCATTTCCATCAATGTGGAATTGTGGTGTGTTCCATCCGTATGGATTAGATCCTCTTGCCGGAGATGTTAAAACATTGCAAGGATTAGTCCACTGCCTTAAGATTTTGACATATATGAAATGTGAAGCAAGTCGCCTTGGCATGATGACTGGTGAGTTGAAATTATCAATGTCTTATTCATAATGGCTTTTTGGATGACTGTTACATTGTTTCTGCAAGCTCATAAGTTTACTACAAACTTTTCAATTCAATGATTTTGTTGTGTGGGAGGCTTCTGTTTGGATTAGACTTTAGTAGTTCAGGGTGTCACTGTACCATGTCAGACCAATCTTTTAAATCAGTTACTTATATGGTGTAAGTGGAATATATTTATGCAATACATGTTTGACCTCTACTTTGGGGCAAATTTGCATTTTCATACATAAACTTGTTTTGTGGTACAAGCATGATTGAAAGGTCTGATGTGGATAGTTGAGATGGGGTTGAGGTTGTCCATCGTAGATATAATTTATGCTAAAAATATCTGATGAGGAAAAACTGCATGTTTTAATAATTAAATCTACAGCATAAACTGTAAATTTTCTCTGTCAAGTCTGGCATTCTGTTGCAACTTGCAAGCAAAATTGACATCTTGCATAGGGCAATTGCTCTTTTTATGGCAAAATACTTTGAGAAATTTTCAATCTGATTCTCTGAGAGCTAATAACGCTATAGGCCAAGCAACAAAATGCAAAATTTAAATGTTTTAATGCAAGCGCAATAATAAATTATACCATCTTGCCAGCCTATGGTTGATTTGAATGGTTTGACAAACCAGTTGCTTTGACCAAACTATTGTTCCACAGAGTTTGTATAGACAGATGCAACAAACTATTGTACACTCTTCTATTCAGCCAAATAGAGCAAGGCATTATTTGCTCACAGGAAAGATATGCACATTATCCTAAAAAGGTAAGATTGTAAAATGACCCGGTGACAAACTATTGTATAGTTATGCTACAATATGTTATGTATATACTATATAAACTATATATATGTATAAATTTTGATTATAAATTTACTTAGTTTCACTGCAACCAATAATAAAGATAGTGGGCCTTTTCTAGTTCTTTCAATTAAAAAATATTGATGCATGTATAATTATCACCATAAAAAGAGCAATTGCCATGGTTGATGCTACAAGGCAAAATACAGACTTGTCTAGAGCTACAATTAGGTTGCTAAAAGCAATAAAGAAATTTTGTATGGCTAAAAAGTTGATGAATTTTTCCAGAGTTATTCAACATGTTTTCCGCAAAGAAAATCAAAATACAGTTTAGTTATTTTGAAATATCTGTGCAAGGAAGGAGAAATTGGCAAGAAATATTTTATTATGAATTTTTCATTTGATGATGGTTGTGTTTCCTTAAATTTAAAGGATTTCAATGCTCATCAAGTATAGCACTCTGGCCAATTGATGTTATTGTTTTTCCATGGAATAAGGAGGAACTTCCTGAACCATTAGAGATCATGGATGGAGTCTTTAAATTTCATCCAGAGATCTGTAAATATTATATTAATCATCCTGAAGAAAAGGGCCAATTGGTAAAAGAAATGTTATATTTTCATGTGCCATCAGGAGATTCTAGAGAAAATGATGAAGATGGTGATCATGATTTATATCAAAAGCCTTGTTTGAATTCAATTTTTGGCATGGATTTTCCCAACGAAAATGAGCAATGGGTAATTAAAGAATCAAGAGAGTTCTATAAATGGCTTCAATCCTATATGTATCCATCACTTACAGTTTGTATTGGTGAAGCTGTAATAAGTCCATACCTTGTCTTAATGATCTCTCCTCTCGCACCTGGTTGGCTTGGTGGTACAATAACAGGTGTAGTCAGTTCACATAGTTATGAAAATTATTGACAATTATACATAGACTATATATATTTGTTGATAAAGTATTGCTTTATGCTGTGTAAACTATCTTTATTTTGCATACCTTTGGATAGAATAGCACTCTGTGTTACACAACATTACTATTGTATATATTATTACTTTATTATTTTTTATAAGATGCTAACTTTCTTTTCATTCACATGCCAGTTGATGGTAGAAACGCTGTACACTACAGTGTCCCAAAGAATGTGACACTTGTTCCTAAACCTTTGTTTAACGCGGTGATTGCGCAAAAGGGAATTTAATGAAATTTTTGTATACAAACAGCGAATTGGGAATAGTGATCACATGATTCTATTGTTTCTCTTTGGGACACCTTGTGCAACATTAATATTGGGTGAAGTTGTGCTTTATTTGAGGGAAATTTTCTTTCATTCAACTACTGCTGCAAAACGTTTTTGGTTTTCTTATATATTTATTATTTTATCTTATTTTATTATCTATTTTGTAGAATTATTTGTATTAAATTTAAAATGCGGAAGAATTTTTTTTACTGAACACGAACTGTGGGGTGAGGAAGTCCCCCCTCACCCAATACTTTTGCATCTATTTTGCTTTTTTATTAAGTTGTCCGACAACTTGAAACATTTCAAAGGCTTTTGCGGCCGATAGCCGTCCAATCAAAAATAAGTTAGGTGGTTCTCGTGAATTTAAGCCGACGAGTTCGAGTGTACTTAAAAGATTCAATTGGGTTGTGAATTGAACTGAATTCACATGATTCAGACTACTATACAAAAAGACAGGTGAAAATTCACTGTTATTCAGGATATACGTTTGCAACCGAACCGAATCCACTTTTAAGTGTCCCGCTCGTGAAAGCAAGATGTTGGAAACATACAAGGCAATGCTGGAGATGGCGTCGTAATATAATCCATAGTCCAAAAAATGGCTTAAACTTCAAATCAGCACTTCCATTTTCAAGTAAGTTTCCATCTCTAAAGATTTTCTAGTGCTGAAAAGGAAAATGTAAGGAAGGGGGAAAATCTAAAAATTCTAAGGATTTTTTCGAAAAGATTATTAAGTATCGTTTTGAATATCTCAGTAAATTATCAATTTTATTTGATAAAAAATAGCTATGTTTTAAATCTTTTTTCTCAGTTTTCTTTCGTTTGCATAAAGTTTTTGAGCAACTGGATTTAGGAATGACGTTGCGTAAAGTTAGAACTGTGAGCAATTAACTTTTTTAAAATAAGGTATTTTACTTTTTGTGTTTGAACTTTAAAGATTTTGTAATGAAGCGGGCAAGTGGGACAGCAATAGACAGTCTCGATACGATACTTGCTCTGAATATAAAGCCTTGTCCAAACATATCCGGATATTTAAAAATACAGATGTATTTTCTCCGTACTTAAAAAAATTGCGTCCACAAGTATATTCTTAAAATCGTATTTACCGTCCACACAAAAACCTTCGTTTTTGAAAATACTCGGCCACGGGTGGGAGTGAGAGTGACAGATCAAAATAAACTGTTTGCATCCAATGCGCATTGTAAATTTGCAAAAAAAAGAAAGTCTAATGCACATAATGGAAATAACAAAATTCAAAAGAGTGCATGTCAAACTTCACCAGTGAGATAACTTTTATGAACGATTTTTCTATAAATATGAAATAATTTTTAAGTAAACAATGTATACAGTGATTAAGAACATTATACAGGAAAATGGGGATGAAGAACTTTATAACAAACTTGAAGAGCAAGAAGAGACTCGACCAGCTCATCTTTGCCAGCCAATTCCAATTTGCTCAAGCAAAAAAGATATGTTCTGAAACAAGAAGAAAAGTTTGACATTGAAACAAACTAACAAAAGGTCAAAGAAAAATTGTCAAAACTGTGATGCATTGTGATGTAGAGTGATGCATTGTGTGATTAGGTGTAGGGCAGTATCATTCTGTGTGATGTATAGCCATAGAATGTAATGCATTGTGATTGATGTAGTCGTGTCCTGTAATGTCAGTGTCTGGGATTTATTAAAAAGTACTATGATACACAGTTCTGTAATCTAATGGAGTGCGCATCAAGATAACAAACGATGACGCACGCTGTTGTGTGACGTTACGTAATGTATCACAAACTTTTATACTGTTTAGCCAAAAAATATATAGTGCATGGTGTAACGCTGTGAAATTTGATTCGAAAATTTGAAGGAGTGAACAGCTTCGATATTATACATTATTCTTCACTGAAAACCAATTCGAAATACAGATTTAATGATACTAGACTAAAGTTGTGTAGAAATTATGTACTTGGTTGTACTTTCCTCTGAGTTAGTGGCATTATAGGATCTACACTACAAAAATTGTTACTTATTTCAAGACCAAAATACTTTTATGATTATAATACTTGTATGACAAGATGCAAAAATTTAATAAATACTCTTAAATCAAATTTAAATAAGAGACTACAGAAATCTTTCAATATAGAAGACTGGAATATGCTTCCTGATAAATGAAGACACTACTGAGAAGGAAGTATTTTTAATGAACAATAGCAAATAGCAATGTTGGCCATATGTAAAAAGATTTTAAATTAAACTAGATTAAATCAAAAGTCAAGCTTTCAATTGGGCATGTGTTTAAAACTACATGTTATAATAGGCTTGGTCAATTACTCCCCAAATACAAAACGGTTCAGCAGTGTAGGAGTTGTTTTTCTTCCCAAATTTACTTATAAGTAAACCAGTGTTCACAGGCCATACTCAAATAATCCCAGTATGTTTTTCTGTGTAAATAGTTTTTTTGGCTCAGTTGGTTGAAAAGAACAAGTTTTCCCAAATCATGTGCCCAGTATTTGTTAGAAACATTGTTCATATCCCTTAAAATGTCAGTTAAACTTTGATCAACATCACACAAACTCGTTCTTATAAACAACAAATAACTTTCTAACATATAGAACCCACAAACAGACCAATTAGTCTTATACCTATGAATTTATATATCATATGGTTTTAAAGACTTACCAAATTAAAGTCGTCATTTTCGCTTCTGATAAGAATACAAATGGTTGACTGAACCTAACACTTCAAATCGATTTTGAAACAAAAATCCTTTGTCTTATTTCGAACAAGTTTGTGTATTGTAGGGTTGCTCGCTCCTTCAAATTTGCGAATCAAGTTTCACAGCGTTGTGAAGTCGAAATTATCGTAAATTTTCGTCCAAAATATTCTTCTTATCGTTCTATAGCTTTGTTAAGAAAATCGACCCGATCAGAAACGCTTAAAAGACAAAATATTGCAAAAACTGTGATGCTCTAATAAAAATCTACAGAAAAGTGGGTCCCCATTTTCGATTCGGGCAGATTTACTTCCGGCTTCAATTTTTGATAGAAATTTTGTATTAGTTGCGTTATCCAGTCTATAATGTCTATTTCAGATCAGTGGCTATTCCCGCGATGCATGGTATTATTGGTATAAATATTACTAAAGAAAAGCAGGTCGAAAATAAAATACAATTCGTGATACATAATGCAAATTAAACTTCCAATTAAACTTTAACCCTGGAGGGCCCAAGGGGTCATATATGACCCCACGATTTTCATGGGCCGATTTGAACCTATGCGTTTACACACAATAAATATTGACCCTATTGGGCCAAAGTCCCATATATGACCCCTTATTCGTGGAGGTCTGGTAGCTATTGCATATGCTATGTCAGCAGAATATTTTCACAAAGATGGCGTCCTTTGCCCATGAGTGTGTTGATGTTTGTTGCTGAATTTCAAGGCTCCATCATGCTTTTTATAGGGACTTTGTGAGAAAATCACTGCACACTGATAAATATTTAGCTCTTCCTTTATCTTTCAGTAGTTTTTTGTGCAGTATTGTTGCTTTCTTCATGAAATAAATTCAATTTGAAATATACGGGTCATATATGACCCACTGGGCTTTTACGTCAGGTGAGCCTCTTATTGCCTTGTTGATATATAAGCAGTTTATATTCAGCGTATGAACTATATTGTAGACGTTTTGTCGAATTGTTTGTTAAATACAAATTTCTTATTTGTATATATGAATTCATTTTGTAAATTTTCAGTGTTTAAATCTTTTCCTCTACATTGTATTAGTCAATCATGTCCACAAAGAACAATGATTACACAACCACCGATGTTCTCGCAATTCTTGATGGTGACAAAAGCGATTTCAGTGAGGGTGGTTATACTGATTGGTCTGAAGATGATAGTATGTCTTGTGGGGACAAATCATGGAGCTTGGCTGAGGCTGGTTTTCAGAATGAACCAGTATTGAGTGGCAACGAAGATGATGGTTGCAATGGCAATGGTGAAGATCCCGAGGTTTATAATAGTGCTGAGGACATACCCTTGACTGCCAGATTAGTCAACAACAAGAATCGCAGTGTCCAGTATATATGGAAAAAGAAAACATTCGAGCCACAGAGTGACAAATTTCAAGGAAAAACTGTGACGGCCACAGATCCTATTGGTTTGTCTGAAACGCCATTACAGTATTTCAAGCGATTCATTACTGACAAAATGTTAGAGCATATTGTGGAGCATACCAACCGATATAGCACACTGAAACATGGAAGATGTGCCAATGCATCTTTGAAAGAAATGGAGCAGTTATTAGGTATGTATTTCAAAATGGGTCTTGCTGAAATGCCATCTTACAAAATGTATTGGGAAAATGGAACTAGATACCCAGCAGTTGCTGATATTATGAGCAGGAACAGGTTCAAGCTGCTTTTGGGTACAATTCATTTTGTGGATAATGAAATTGTTACTGATGACGAGAAGAAAAACAAGCTTTGGAAAGTTTAACCATTCTTGGAAATGTTTCGCATGCAATGCCTTCAAGTCATTCCAATTCAGCATCAGTCAATTGATGAAATGATGATTCCATAAAAGGCAAGTTTGGCAACATTCGTCAGTATGTAAAAGGCAAACCCCATCCCTGGGGATTCAATGTTTGGTGTAGGTGCTCACCGAGTGGCTTGCTACATGACTTTGAAGTCTACCAAGGAAGAGTTGAGGGGAGAAAAAAGAGTGAATATGGTGTTGGTGGCTCAGCTGTTTTGAAATTGTGCGAAACTCTAGAAAAACATGCTCAGTATAAAATATATGCTGACAACTTTTTCACCTCTATCAAGCTGATTGAGAAGCTTTCAGCAGATGGATTTTTATACGCTGGAACAGTGAGGCAAAACTGTTTGGGCAAAGCTCTGAAATCCAAGCTTTACCAGAAAAGATCTCAGTCGAAATGGCAGAGGCTCCTACGATGTTAGAGTTGAATCCACCAGAAATATCGTCTGCCTCAGGTGGCTTGATACCAGGGCAGTCACCATGTTATCCAACTATGCTGGCGCTGAACCAATTGACCAAGCTCGTCGTTGGGATAAAAGTACTAAAGCATACATTCCAGTGAACCGACCTTATGTGATCAAGGAGTATAACAATTATATGGGCGGCGTAGACATGTTAGATTGTCATATTTCCAAGTGCAAGTTGTCACCAGATCACGCAGATGGTACATGATTCTGTTTTGGCATTTCATCACTCTTGGTATGATAAACGCATGGCTCATTTACCAGCGCGATTGTGAGCTGTTGAAAGTGACAGGGAGTGACGCTGAAGCTCCGTGAATTCCAGGCAATGGTTGCACAAGGTTTGACGGACGTTGGAACCAGCAAAAACGTGGTAGACCATCTGAGGAGAAGTGTACCCCAAAGGTGGTAAGAGTAGAACCATGTCAGACGTACGATATGACCAAGCTGCACATTGGCCATATGGAAAAAAGACGTAGATGTGCTGTATGCAAAACGATAAAACGGATACATACTGTGAAAATGCAACATTCCACTATGTTTCAATGAACGCCGAAATTGTTATAAGGTATATCATGTAAAATAGTTTTGCCATGTTCAAATCTTTTAAATTACCCATTTATATATTTTACCAGACACATACAGTTTTATCATAGTTCTTTTTTTTATAAACGGTTACAATTTTAATAAACAGTCATTATTTTGTTGTTAGTGTATTGTATTACTTAACACCCACGAAGGCCCAATGGGTCACTTATGACCCATTTGCCCAATTTGTTCGGATTGCACGAAATTCTTAAAAAAGACCTCTGTTATGTTTAACCGGCCCATAGTAAGTGTTCTTGACTGATAAAAAATTTTTTTCTTACGTAAGCAAATTTTGGGCCCTCCAGGGTTAAAAGTAAGCTTTGCACCAGCCACATGGACAGTTTGAGAGCTACTCGAACAACACTGGTTCCAGATGTTGGTCAGTTCAATGATTTGCTGAATTCAATCATTTCATATCTGACTAATCTGACCATAACATACGACAGTGATGATACTGCCATTAGAAATTTATCGTGACATTTTATTGCTGCTGCCTTTCCAAGACGTTATGCGATACATATTAGTGTGTAAAACTTGGATGGTGAGCCGTGAGCGTTGATTTGATTCTTTCAACACGGACTGAAAGACTGAAAGTACGATGATTCAACTTCATTCTCTTTGATATTTAGGCGATGTTAAACGAAAGGAGTTTTTGGGAGATTTATATGGTGAAACACTTTGATGTCGATGAAAAATCAGATTTATCAAAGGAAATGTTGGCTCTCATTGCAGGCGAGCCATGGGGATGTACTGACCCAGAATATGAAAAGTTAGTGCAGTAAAATTTTCTTTTCTTTGAAATGATTCGCTTGTGTATGTAAGTCATTTGTTTTTGCTATGCAAGCTACGTCATAGCCGCCCTGTTGGATGATTTTAACAAAGGATTTTCCTTCTTTACAATGCAAATTTCATCTAACATGTCAAGATAACTGGTGGGTCTTTCTTAATTAAAGAATTTACAGGCTGACAACTTTTATAAATAGGATTGAAGTATTTAAAATTGTATTATAATATAGCTTTTAAATCATATTTTAAATCATCTAAAGGTTATACGTGTGCAAATGTACTCCAAACATGTATGTCATGCGTCCATTTCCATCAATGTGGAATTGTGGTGTGGTCCATCCATATGGATTAGATCCTCTTGCCGGAGATGTTAAAACATTGCAAGGATTAGTCCACTGCCTTGAGATTTTGACATATATGAAACATGAAGCAAGTCGCCTTGGCATGATGACTGGTGAGTTGAAATTATCAATGCTTTATTCATAATGGCTTTTTGGATGACTGTTACATTGTTTCTGCAAGCTCATAAGTTTACTACAAAACTTTTCAATTCAATGATTTTGTTGGGTGGAAGGCTTCTGTTTGGATTAGATTTTAGTGGTTCAGGGTGTCACTGTACCATGTCAGACCAATTTTTTAAATCAGTTACTTATATGGTGTAAGTGGAATATATTTTTTTGCAATACATGTTTGACCTCTACTTCCGGGCAAATTTTCATTTTCATACACAAACTTGTTTTGTGGTACAAGCATAATTGAAACGTCTGATGTGGATAGTTGAGATGGGGTTGAGGTTGTCCATTGTAGATATAATTTATGCTAAAAATATCTGATGAGGAAAAACTGCATTTTTTAATAATTAAATCTACAGTATAAACTGTAAATTTTCTCAGTCAAGTCTGGCATTCTGTTGCAACTTGCAAGCGAAATTGACATCTTGCATAGGGCAATTGCTCTTTTTATGGCAAAATACTTTGAGAAATTTTCAATCTTATTCTCTGAGAGCTAATAGCGCTATAGGCCAAGCAACAAAAGGCAAGATTTAAATGTTTTAATGCAAGCACAATAATAAATTATACCATCTTGCCAGCCGAAGGTTGATTTGAATGGTTTGACAAACCAGTTGCTTTGAACAAACTATTGTTCCACAGAGTTTGCAAAGACAGTTGCAACAAACCATTGTACACTCTTCTATTCAGTCAAATAGAGCAAGGGATTATTTGCTCACAGGAAAGATATGCATATTATCCTAAAAAGGTAAGATTGTAAAATGACCCGGTGACAAACTATTGTATAGTTGTGCTACAATATGTTATTTATAAACTATATATATGTATAAATTTTTATTATAAATTTACTCAACCAATAATGAAGATAGTGGGCCTTTTCTAGTTCTTTCAAATAAAAAATATTGATGTATGTATAATTATCACCTTAAAAAGAGCAATTGCCATGGTTGATGTTACAAGGCAAAATACAGTCTTGTCTAAAGCTACAATTAGGTTGCTAAAAGCAATTAAGAAATTTTGTATGGCTAAAAAGTTGATGAATTTTTCCAGAGTTGTTCAACATGTTTTCCGCAAAGAAAATCAAAGTACAGTTTAGTTATTTTGAAATATCTGTGCAAGGAAAGAGAAATGGGCAAGAAATATTTTATTATGAATTTTTCATTTGATAATGGTTGTGTTTTTAAAGGATTTCAATGCTCATCAAGTATGGCACTCTGGCCAATTGATGTTATTGTTTTTCCATGGAATAAGGAGGAACTTCCCAAACCAATGGAGATCATGGATGGAGTCTTTAAATTTCATCCAGAAATCTGTGAACGTTATTTTACCTTTCCCGGAAAAAAGAGCCAAGTGTTAAAGGAAATGTTATGTTTTCATGTGCGATCAGGAGATCCTGGAGAACAATGTGAAGCTGCTGATCATATTTTATATCAAAAGCCTTGTTTGAATGCGATTTTTGGCATGGATTATCCCAAAGAAAACGAGCAATGGAAAATTGAAGATTCGAGAGTCTTCTATGAATGGCTTCAATCTTACATGTATCCTTCACTAACAATTTGTATTGGTGAACCTATAATATGTCCATTCCTTGTCTTAATGGTGTCTCCTCTCGCACCTGGTTGGCTTGGTGGCACAATAACAGCTGTAGTGTCCAGAAAAAAAGTTGACACTGTAGAAATCATCGATCATTCGATCTAATTGTTCGTAAACCTTAGTTGAACGCGGTGATTGCGCCAAAAGGAATTTAATGAAATTTTCTGTATGGAGCAGCGGATTGGGAATAGTGATCACATGATTTTTATAGTTTCACTTTGAGACCCCTTTTGCTTACATTACCATATTGGGTGAAATTTTGCTTTATGTGAGGGCTCTCTTTCATTCAACAACTGCGTAACGTTTTTGTTTTTGTTATATATTTATTATTTTCACTATATTTTATTATCTGTACGCGTAGAATTATTTACATCAAAATTAAAATGCCGGAGAATCATTTTACTCCGAAAGTAAAATGATTCTCAAAAAAATAAATGGGACCGGAAGTTGGCTCATCTGATTATGACCTTCTTGGGGGGTATCGGTCCCACTTAACTATACTTTTGTATTACAAAATCACAGTTTGCGTTTTTATTTGTTCTACAAACTTTTGATTAGAGCAAATTTTTGTGAAAGGGACAGAACAACCGGCAAAGATATTTAATCCTAAAAAGTTTGTCTTATTGGCTTTATAACGGCAGAAAATTGAGATGGTGCAAGGTCGACTTGAATTGTTTTGAAACAAACTGGAGATTATATGATGCTGCTGCTTCTTGAAATATGTCCTTTTAGAATCCTACTACTGCTACCAAAATTTCATCTGCAATGACGTTTATGGAAGATTGCTACAAATTTACTTATTTAACAACACTTTGTTGTTCACATCGCTAAAATCATAATAATCTCAAATTATGTCTTTATTATAACAGTGAAGAAACAAAACAAATCGACATAGAAAAATAACTAGAAAGACGTTTTGATGAACAAAAGTAAGTTGAAAACGGTATCATCAAACTCTACGAGACGTACATCATCAAAATATGCGAATCAAAGTACGTCTGTTGTCATTAAGCGAAGCGAAGTTTTCAACCAGTTCCTACGTGAACAACTTCACTATCGATGAATATGTTGAAGATATGAATGTCTTTGTTCTTACTTTGTTGTAAATTTGTAATTTAAGTATTCATCTTCTAAAAATGCCTCGCACGGCTGAAATTATCCTCGTCACCTTCAACTTTCAAATTTTCAACCTTTAACTTTTCAACACAACTTGCCATCTTATTTTTCAGTCGTTACAAAGCAAAAAAAAACAGAGCTTCAGAGTTAAAACTCTCTACTGGTTTTCCTCTACATGTCATAAAAATTTTGTCTTAATCAGAAGTTTGTAAAAGGAATAAAAACGCGAAAACTGTGGTTTTGTAATGCAAAAGTATAGTAAAGTGGGATCGATACCCCCCATGAAGCCAGTAGCAAATGATCGATCTTCTGGCTTCAAATTTCGCAAGAGATGCGTTATCCAGTCTAATATACATATCAGTGATTGAGTTCTATAATATTACCTGAAGGGGGAAAGGGGCCTGGGAAATGTTGTCAAAAACATGGATGCCAAAAGGAAATTTTGAATGAATAACATCCACTTGAAAATTTATTTTTATTATTCTCTCCCTCCTGATTGCTAATGCAGCTCAATTCATTAATACACATTACGTGTAAATAACCACCGAAGCCCTTAAATCATGAAGATATGCTCTAGCGTTTTATGTAATGCATACGAAGAAAACGTACGGTAAAGAATTTTTGTCGTGGTTAAATGACAATTTTATTCAAAAAAGTTTATGTTCGTTAGTACTTGTCGTTACGTTGTGATTGGCTTATGTGATTCGAATGTCCTGCCAAACGTTGTTTGCAATATATAAACTAACTGGAGGATAATTTGATTTGTCACTTGTTTCAGCCACGACCGAGACTTGCAATGTTAGAAAAAATATCTTCAAGATTCTCTGCGGAATTCTTATATGATAAAATTAAAACTGACGACAAACCATATACCGAGTACATATCTCGTCAGATACATATCTACTTTGAAAATATTCCGAACTAACCCTCATTTATCAAAACGGACGTCGAATTAATGGATAAATTGTTGAGAGCTTGTGTGTTAACTGTCTCCACACAAAAAATTGGGTTTATTTGCGTAGAACTATATATGATACATAGATATAGTAAAACTAGATTGCTGAGGAGTGTGATGTAATATAAGACTTATTAAGACGGCAGCATGACATTCATGACATTCATAAACTAAAGTACGCTTGCGCCGGCGTTGTGAAACACAAGACGTCGCCGTCGCAAAAAACCGTGCAACGTAAACTCTCTGATAAATCCAAGACGGCGCGGGAACCGGGCAAAACATCTTGGGGCTACTCTTAGGCAATTGTTGCTTTTGGCAGTTTACTTCGTTTCAGTATTTTCAAACTCCTCCAATCAAGTTTCATTGGAAACAAAGTGTTATTAATAATGTTTTGAAGTCACGATTATTATTGAAATACGGGCGAAAAATATCGCCTGCGAAATGTTGTATTAATTGGTCGTTGGTTGTCTCGAGGCGTTCGTCCACCAAAATAAACGGATTTCGTCTACTTTAGCTCCCATAATTGTTCGTCCACATTGAAACACATGATATTGAATACATACAAAAAGATGGGAAAATTAATCTTTATAATTTTTACATAACTTCAAGATGCTATTCGTTCTTTCAATCTTCAAATATGTGTTGACACTTGACAGACAGTCTTAGTCGTTTCCAAAAAGGATGAGTTTTGTCAGCCTTTGCCGCTTAGATGGAGCTCCTTTACGAACGATTCTCTCTGAGTACACTTTGGCAAACTGGTGTACGAATATATTACTGTACATGTATGGTATTTTTCTGATGAGATCGGTGATATGGTCATCGCAAAAGCTCTCATCTAGTGCATGGGCTTCCTTAGAATGCTGCAATAGCGATTGAAATACATTTGGCTTAGTTTCTTGCAGGACATCTCGTTGCATAACTTTGATTGTTTTTTCTGACAACTGACTCCACTTGGTGACCATTTTGCGAAGAGCTTTATCTGCTGCTTTTACTACTTTTACCAATGAAGAGGATGGACTTGTAAGCTTGCCAGAGGTCTTGAAAGAAGTTAAGCTTGACTTTAACGAACCTTTATAACAGTATGAGTGGTCAGGTATGAGAGGTTGGTCATCATTCTCCATGGTTAAGGCAGTTACACATTCAGCACATTTAATGCAACTTGTAATTTTCTTGGCTATGTATCCACTGATATAGGTCCGTACATCCTCATGCCAAAGAGTGGAACTGTTTAATAATGCTGCAACTCTCCTATCAGCATTTTGTGTCTCTTCAGATAGCTTGCTTTCACTTAGAATAGAGCAGTTGGCAGTTGCTGGGGCTGTCACTTCATTGTTTTGTATCAGTGCTCGGAGTGCCCACTTAAACTGTAGAGCATTTGGATTGTTATTCCATCCCATTCGAGTTCTTATCTTGCTAAAGAACATTTCAAGCTGATCTTGGGGAAACGGTAGGTTACTAAATATTCTAAATTGTTGTAGTTTCTGTTTAACAAATGTTTAGCTAGTGCTAAGATTGACTTTGATGAAATTGAAAATCCTTTGATAAATATTTTTCTTTGTCCTTCAAATAGTTCGATTCCATCATTGTCCTCTAAATATTTCAGGTATCTTATGATATCATTTTTATCAATCTGCAGTTCATTCAGGTTACCTCGTGTGATTGGGCTCTTGTAATTTTTACAAAATTTACTTTTGGAATTTAGAATATCAAATATGTTGTTTACTTTCAGAAGGAATTCAGCTGTCGCTTCACTGTTTTCAAACTGCTTCAACTTGAGCTGTCGTAGGTACATTAAACCAGCTGCAACTGGATGACTTAAGATTTGTGTCGCAATTGCCACCTTCATTTTTTGATTATGCCATTCGATGTGCTAGGTTTTCAGTTTATTGCCACGATGCAAAACATCACTAGTTTATGCATTATGCAGCTCTATGATATACTTCCAATTGATTTCATCCCCCTTCTTTGTTTTAACATGTGACATGCATCCAAAATAATGTAGAGTGTTTTGTTAGGCCTTGATGGGTGTTTGAATGATCCATAAAGTTTTCTAAGGTTGCATCCCAAGACATTAACTGTTGCCAGATTTTTTGCACAACCATCAAATATAACACCATGCAAATCAAGTCCTGCTTCAGTTAACAAATTGATAGCCTTTTTAATTATCTGGGCTTGTGTTTCAGCTGTGACACGGTCCACCAAGAAGTATGCTATAGGGTGATACAATTGTTTTAGAGTTCTTCAGCCATGACAACTAAAGCATTTGTTGCAATGCTATCCTGTTCATCTGCAAGAATGGAATACAATATGTATTGCCAGCAAAATTTTTTTTACATCCCAAATTACTTCTTTTTTGTGGCCATTTCATCTACTATCAGGATACAATCTTTGCAGTTCTCTTCAAGACCATTCCGCAAATGTTCAATGACATTGCTTAAGAAACCTGGCTCACATTCAATGACAGCTGCCCATGCTCGGATGGTTGATGGACATGGTAAGTGAAGTGCTCGTCTTACAAAATTGTATGCCCTAGGATTGTAAAAATGCAAGGAGATAGCAAATTGCTTGATGGTATCACTGTATTGAATTCTTTGACTTGTTGGCATTTTTTCTTTCATTCTCAAACAGGTTCTTACTCATATGTCCAAAGTTGGAGTATAGGGTTCGACTTTGCTCCTTTGACAAGCGTTGCGTGCATTTCAGCTTTTTTAGTAGTCCTTTTATTGTTTTCTCTTTGCGAAGATTTTTGCTTGTCAGTGCTCTTATCTTTCTTTTACTTTTTTCTAGACACTTTATAATTTTGCGGATGAATTTTCTTGGGGACATGCTGTATGCATGATCTTGTATATCTGGATGATCAGAGTGCCTGGGTTTCTTTATAGTCACATGTTTTTGTGGACTGGGAGCTTTTCTCTTTCTTGGAGATTTCCTTTGCCCATCTTTGTTTTGGAAATTCAAAGGAAAATTAAAAACAGATGGTACTGCATCTGCCTTCAAATACTTTTTGGTCTTATCAGCACATTCCATTTACTGAATTCCAGACATAGCATAGTTTTGCAGTTTTAAGTGTTTCTCACAGAAAACAGATTATTGAGACGGCTTCCATTCACCCGTTTCATTGCATGTATATTAATATTATATTTTGATACATAGAACAAACACTTATTGCCCATAAATCAGAATTTTCTGCAACGCTAATGAGGTATTTCTATTGACAACAGAGAAAGTGTATCTTATAGACTCTGGCTCTAAGTGTAGTACAGTCATAACAAATATC